TCAAACTTACGGTCGGTGAGGAGATCCTGGATGAGATGTCCTTTGCTCGTGAGTGAGCGGATGTTGAGCAGGCCAAAGTTGACGGAGTTGTCACATCTGGGAGGAGTGTTAGCCGACCGGGCTAGGTAGGCCAGCACACTGTGGTCAGCAACCCGGTCAGTGTTTCGTGGGGGGCGACGAGAGGTGGACCTGGCGGAGTATTAGAGCATGCCCATCGCAAGTTGGCGAAAGAAAAGACAGCAAAGTCCAGAGAAGAACGGACTCGAAGGGCATCCCGTCAGCCAGCACCGTGGCGACAAACCCCGCGGGGACTCGGTCGAAATGGACACAGGACCGGTGGCAGTTGTGGATCAGTAAGCTGCTAAAAAGACCTAAACTAAAAACTTAAAGTGATAGCTTAAAAAGTTACGGGTGAGCAGCGGCAGCAAGTCGCGCCAGCGTTCACTCACACCGCCCTTGGAGCACCCCCCACAGAATACCACGAGGGACACGATCGAAAGCCTTTCCCAAGTCCACAAAACACATGTGGACCGGTTGGGCAAACTCCCATAAACCCTCAAGCACCCTGTGGAGGGTATAGAGCTGGTCCAGTGTTCCACGACCAGGACGAAAACCGCATTGTTCCTCTTGAATCCGAGGTTCGACTATCGGCCGGATTCTCCTCTCCAGTACCCTGGAATAGACTTTTCCCGGGAGGCTGAGGAGTGTGATCCCCGAAACACACACCCTCCGGTCCCCTTTTTTGAAAAGAGGCACCACCCCGGTCTGCCAGTCCAGAGGTACTGTCCCGGACTGCCACGCAATGCTGCAGAGACGTGTCAACCAAGACAGCCCCACAACATCCAGAGACTTGAGGTACTCAGGGTGGATCTCATCCACCCCCGGCGCCTTGCCACCAAGCAGCTTTTTGACTGCCTCGGTGACCTCAGCGCAGGAGATGGGAGGATCAGCTGCTGAGTCCTCAGCCTCAGCTCCCTCTGCGGAAGGTGTGTCAGTGGGATTGAGGAAATTCTCTAAATATTCCTTTCACATCCCGACGATAACATATCATTGACGGTGAGCATAATTCTTCAATGAGTCGTTAATAACTAACACAGTAATTAGCACGGGTGGCATACTTATGTGTAATGGGTGCAGCATTTTGTTTGGAATAATTACCACCATTGACAGGCTTTTCCACAAACAGGCACATCCCCCACCCCGAGGGGCAGCGGAGGGTGTGTACATCCACTGCAGGAAACGGCAAGAAAATGCAAAAAAAGAGCACATGTGAATATGTGCTGCGTTCAAACTAACAAACTGCATTCAGACCACTTATGCAAAAAATAAGGTGTAAAAAAGTTAAAAAAAAAAAATTCAGAGAAATAATATAGTACGTATATAAAATTGAATTGACCAGAATTTGATTTGATTTTTTTTTGTTGTTGTTTTGTCAATTTGTCTAAATTAAAATTTTCCTTGATTCAGTTTTCATGTTTTCTGAAATGAAACTGTTGGTGAAGTTGCTGATGAGTTTTGTGTCAAGTTCCAAATGGGATAATTCACATCCAGGTATGATAATGACTCCACCTGGTGGTGGTATTCCCTGCAGCTAGTTACCAATGAGAAGGTGCTGGCAATTTAATGATAATGTAAAAAAAATGACTGGGCTTAATTTGATTATGAGTTACATTCAATGTAGCCCTTGTCTATCTGGAATTTACAACAGTAGATCAACCCTCAGCTGAATAATGACAAAACTGCCGAGTCATGGCTGGGAATACTTTTTGGAAACAGGAGAATTTAATTTGTCTGTTGCAGTGTCAGCACCTCACCCCAGCCTGTGGTGAACACAGATGTGCACCACAGTCGGCCAGTACTGTCTGATATCAGCACAATTATTTTTCTTTATATAATTTTGTTTCATTAACATTACTTTATAGAACTCTGTTTTCACTTTGACATTAAAGAATTTTTTCCAATTAATGTGTGGAAAAAGAAAGCCAAATTTTATTGAGTTATTAAAGTTATTAAATAAAAGTGTAAAACATCCAAGGGGGTGAATACTTATGCTAAGCACTTTATATAGTTCAATTTTAACACACATATTGAATTAAAATATGTTGAAATATTGACCATTTCTATGTATCTGTTTTGTTCTGTAAAAAGAAACAGTAAAATACCCATCCTCTGCCAATTACTTGAAAACAAAAAACCAAAACTATTATAGTGGTATAACAATGTCACAGCCATCCACTGGGTGGTAGGTTTCAGGTGCAAATTCTATATATTGAATTTTTAATTTGCATGCAATTAACTCCATGACAAATTAAATGAGTATATGGAGTCATGATAAATTAGAAAACACAATAAATGAGAATTCCAGCTCTGATTTGCCTTCTTCGTCTATATGTGTTAGGAAACGTTAGGACTGGTTAGGAATCGCTCAGACAGCCAACTGCACTTTTAGTGTGAATTTCCCACCATACCCCACTGTGGGACGAATGTATACATCTGCATCCAAAAATGTTATCCTCAACTGAGAAACGACATTCTACCTTATTTGGACTAGGTTTTTATTTAGAAGCAGTTGTTCCAAATAAATCAGTACTATGTCAGAAATACTTCTAAATACAAACACACAACAACAAAAGTTCTTATAAAAATCTACAGGAGCTTAACATCCATCATACATGCCCCACCATTCATCTAGCTATGCATCAGTCCGTGAATCCAAACACTCCCATTCATCCTGACAGTGTGATGCCTGACACTCAGCAGCACAGAGGGGCATATAGAAACTTGTTCCAGTGTGTTTGCTTAGTGTGAAAACACCGATGAACTAGAATGCAAAACATAATGTGTTTAATTTCATCCGCTCCTGCTGTGTGTAAAAAAAAGTTAATTTGTAGAACTGTACTGACCTCTGCTGGCCAAAATGAAATATTATATTTAAAAAACATTGTAAACATTGGTTTACTGCCCTCCACACCAGCTAGTGGCAGTAATGAGTCTCTTCCAATCCAATGAGTCGGCATGTGTCTGTCTGAAAACGAAGAGGCGCTGCAGACGAAGAAACATCTGCTACAGTAGTTGTAGACGTCGTTTGGCTGTTAAAACGCATGTTTTATCTCCGAAGCTAATAGGCTTCCTATTAGCTCCGGAGACTGCACGGGTGAGTTGCCTGACTTGCTTTTCTACTTGTATCACGTCTGTGTTAACATGCTCTAAAAATAAACACATGGTTTGAAGGAACCTCTGCTCCACTTCATTCACGTCGCTAGTTTTATGAACGATAAAAAGTTGCATTAGCAAGTCTATGTGTGCGTACTGCGGCAGCCGATTTGAGGAGGGGTTTTGGTAAAAGACTGTAAAATGTTTAATTTGTTATAAGTGAATACGTCATTCAAATGAGTTGTGACATTCGTAAAATTAACGTTGTGTGAAGATTTGTCAGACTAGACATCCGATGGTTGTGTGAGGGGGCAAAACGTGACTCTTGTGGTAAGAACAAAGAGTCACAAGTGGGGTAAATAGGTTGAACGAATGTGACAAACTTTATGCTGTGACAGCTGAAAAGAGAAAATGTTGTAATGTTTTTTTTAAACAGTCAATCCAACCTTTGCTGTTCAACCCCCTTTCAGAATTTATTTAACTCTTCTTTAACTAACATGTATTTTTGCAGGTTTATGTGTTGTGCTTTGCGAAAAAGTGCAGAACTGACTGGTTTGAAAGAGGAAAAGGTAGCTGCTGTTCCAACACCAGTCAGCAGCTGGGACCTTTGGAACCTGTTGCTGCAGCGACACCCAAGGTAAAAAAGTAGTCGTACAGGTCAGTGCAACAGAATTTCTGCAACTCCCAAAAAACATTTCTTATGTGTAAACATCTTTTCCCTCCAAACACACTCTGATTATATTTATGTGTTTGTGTGTTCAGACTGCAGACTCTGCAGGACAGGGTGGTGTTGGCAGTGCGTCAGCAGTGCGTGGCCAATGGCGACCAGGTGGAAGTGACGCTAGGAGACGGGGCAAGACAGTAAGTGATAGATCCAATATGTCGTGATCCGTGAGTTGCTTCTAACTCAGCTTTGGCTAAAGTTAACCTCCCGTCGTCCTTCAGGTATGGATGACCCGGTCGCAGATAACACTCCGAAAAACAAAAAAAAGAGAAAAGAATAGTGGAAAAGATCACAAACATTTCACATCACAGCCGTTCTCCATTACTGTAACCCTCCCCTCGGCTTTTGGGTACAGATGACCATGCCCTTGTTCCTTTGGGTACAGGTGACCCGGTGGCAGACAAGGCGCGTCTGTGCTTGTGTGCGTGTTCGACAACTGTAAAAAGCCTGAGAAAAGAAACAAAGAAAGAAAAAACAGAATAGTGGAAAAGACCACACAAACACTTCACGTCACAGCCTTTCTATTATCCTAACTGTGCCCACGTCCTTCGGGTACGGATGACCCGGAGGTTGAACTCTAACCACGGCCTTGTTCTTTCGGGTACGGGTGACCCGGTGGCGGACAACACGCATCGTTATACGACTGTGAAAGGACTATAGAAAAAGAAAAAAAAAACAAAAGTGGAAAGAATAGTGGGAAAGATCACACAAACACTGCACGTCACAGCCTTTCTCTATTTCTTTCAATAAAGTGAACAAAGGACACGATGACACACACACACGTCATATCAAATTTTTTTAAATTTGTATTTGTTTCCATTCTATATTTTGTTTTTATTATGCTCTTTGGTCTCACAAAGGGGCGAGCGAAAACCACGCATCCCACCAGTGAACTCTCTAGGTTACCTCAGACCGAGCCCTAATACGCCTCGTTCTCCAGTCTTCACCTTCGAGAGCTGGATCTGCAAAACAGCAGAAACAGGCTCTTAGTCCTCGGCGTTCTCGGGCACCTCCTGATCGCCAAGGTTCTTCTCCGGAGGGAGCACTGGTTCCGGGTTCTCCCCATTGTCTCCGAGGAGAGATGGATCCCTGAAGTTTGTGCGACGGCACTCGGTTAACAGGTCGTAAACACATAAAGGCAAAAAAGAAATGGTCCGAGATCCCGTATCACTATCCATATAATTTGCACATTGATGGAATAGACAGTAAATCGTCTCGTTCCCTAAATAGACGCTCCCGTCTTACTGCCGCTGCAATTGTTAATAAAATGTCTTCAACACTTGTTGCATTCTTTCACATCCACCCATATAACTGCAAACACGTTTGTGGGTTAATCGTTCAAAAGTGTCTCTCTGATGTGCACATCACTCTGATGACTACTTACATTACATTATTAGCAGTTTCCCAGAATCAGCACTAAGTGTCGCTAAAGGCTGACAGCTGTAGAAACGTTCATACGGCAGCTCTGGAGCTGTCGTGAGGACCGCACATTTCAACGATTTCCACTTTTAAACGTCTGAACGTGAGCGTGGAAAATGGCGTAAGGAAGTTTTTGTGCGTATGCAGGGTTTGTACACGAGGCGACGCACATTTCTACGCTCATTTCAGTTTTCATACATCTGAACGTGAGCGTAGAAAAGGGCGTAAGCAACTTTTTTGTGCCTACGCAACTTTGATACATCAGGCCCCAGATCTTTACCTGTCAGGCAGGTGCTAATCGTCCACAGGGCCGCAAACACCGCAGCCTGGCCGAGCAGCGGGGCCCACATCTTGGGCACTGCTGCGACGACTGTCAGGGGAGACCGAACGATGGACGATGAGATGGAGGCGAGTCTGTCCAGATCATACCCCCTCTGTGGTGGTCGAGGAGAAGACGCAGATAAAAGAAAAATAAACAGAAGCGACGAGGCAGAAAAATGAAGCAGAGAGGATGTGAGCGTCCTCTGTGAACTCTGCAGACCCGCTTCTGTTGCTGCACACGAAACACAACATACGTACTGAACGCTGTTGCAGCTGATACTCCTGTTGACGGAGACAAATTCTAGTCTGTGACGTCAGCACGTCGCGCATCCGCCGTGATGCCTTCAAGTGCATTAACAAATTTCCTCCAATTCGCACTCGCAGCAGCAGCAGACCTGACAGAGATGTTTAAATAGCTAGATGCTAAAATGAACGAAAAAACAAACAAAACGCTCATAATTATAAAAATCGCCCCCCAAAGAATCATCGCTAAATCATTTCCCTGAGTCGTTTTTGATAAGTAGGTATATGATGTTTTGAATTTTTTCATAGCATGACTGTTATTTGCCCTTTTTAATTTTAAAAGACACAAACCTTCACGACCCAAGTCAATAGACTTATTATTATTCATAAATCACAAAATACAGGGTTTATTTTACTTGAAAATTAATGAGGATATTTTATTGTTGGCCGAGTGATATCTGAACAATTAGTATTACTGAAGTTTTAAACATAATCACAGGTGGAGCTTTTAAACTGGCAGCTATTTTAAGTTTGGATGCAGACAGCTGTTGCGATGACCGTGAACTCCTGGGAAACATAAAGCGAGACGACCCCAAAAAAAATCTCTTGCAACCCACCTGAGAGTCGCCAGTCTTTGGGAAACAATGCTATATACGACATACAGTATTCATTATACAGTGCCTAACATAAGTATTCACCCCCTTGGATGTTTTACTCTTTTAGTGCTTTCATAAATCAATCATGGTCAATAAAATTTGGCTTTTTTAACACAAGAATTTATTGGAAAAAACTCTTTAATGTCAAAGTGAAAACAGATTTCTACAAAGTAATGTCAATGAAAAAAATATATAAAGAAATATAATTGTTTGCATAATTAATCACCCCCTTTTTAAGTTAATGGTCTAATTCAATAGAGGTCCATCAAATTCTTGCCAATAGTCTCACAATTAGTGAAATGAAGATCACCTGAGTGGTGTGGGTGTGCTTCAAGTGATTGAGGTATAAAACACCTGTGTCCGAATGGTCCAGACTGGTGGATCAGTATTCTTGGTGACAATTACACCATGAAGACAGAAGAACACTCCAAGCATCTCAGGGAAAGGGTGATTGAGAAGTACAATTCAGGGGATGGATACAAACACATTTCCAAGGCATTGAACATCCCCCGGAGTTCAGTGAAATCCATTATCAAGAAATGGAAGGAATATGGCACTTGTGTGGATCTGCCTAGATCAGGCCGCCCTCGTAAACTAAGTAGGAGACCAGTGAGAGAAGCAACCAAGACCCCTACGACTACTCTGAAGGAGTTACAACTTCAGCTGCTGAGATGGGAGAGACTGTGCATATAGCAACTGCTGCCCGGGTTCTTCACCGGTCAAAGCTTTATGGGAGAGTGGCAATGAGAAAGCCACTGTTGAAGAAAAGTCATATTAGATCTCGACTACAGTTTGCCAAAAAGCACGTGGTCAAGTGGAAGAAGATTCTTTGGTCTGATGAGACCAAAATCGAGCTTTTTGCCCATCAGACAAGACGTCATGTTTGGCGGAAACCAAACACTGCACATCACCAAAAACACACCATCCCCACTGTTAAGCATGGTGGTGGTAGCATCATGCTGTGGGGATGTTTCTCAGCAGCCGGACCTGGAAGGCTTGTAAAGATAGAGGGCAGAATGAACGCTGCAAAATACACTCAAATCCTGGTGGACAATCTTATTCAGTCTGCAAGAGAACTACGGCTTGGGAGAAGATTTATTTTCCAGCAAGACAATGATCCGAAGCATACTGCAAAAGCTACACAGGACTGGTTAAAAAAGAACCAGGTAAATGTTCTGGAGTGGCCGAGTCAAAGCCCAGACCTCAATCCTATAGAGCAGGGGTCTCAGACTCGCGGCCCGGGGGCCAAGTGCGGCCCGCAGTACAATATTTTGTGGCCCGCACCTTAATATTAAAGTATACTGTTAGTGTGGCCCGTGGAGAAACTGGACCTCCGAAGAGCCAATCAGCAAGCTCCCGCGCGCCGTCCCTTGTCGGGGATAGGCTAAGCTACACCAGCTTCGTGCACTTCACGCTTGTAACAACAGCACGGCGTGTATTGAACAGCCAGACAGCAGTCGCCTTTGCGCTTGCCATCTATCGTACTTTCTACCACGAATGTCAATACTGTGTACATAGCTGGTGTTACTGGTGCAGGGGCAGTGGTGGCTTGGTGAAAGGTTTCATGTTTGAGTCCACCAGCTGCCAAGTTACCACTGAGATGAGCATGGCGTCGTCCCCGCACACTGCTCCCCAGGCGCTAAAGCTGCCCCCTGCTGACTTTGGTGATGGGTTAAAAGCAGAGGTCACATTTGGTTGTGTGCAGTGGTGTGCTGTGTCAAAATGACAAGTAGTTCACTTCACTTCACTCAATGTAAATGAAACGTGTGGTTGATGTGGGTTGCAATTTGAAGACTAAGTAAAATATATTCCATCTATATGTGTAATACTTCTGATACATTTTTTTAAATGAATATGACTTATCTACATGTTAAAAATAGTTTACCAAAAAATAAAATGTATTGCAACCCCTTGTGGTGCAAAGACATTGTCTTTGAAGGGGCCAATTTAGATAAAAACTGAAAAACATTTGAGAAATGAAAAATACATTTCACCTAAAAAAACAAATCTGTATCACACCTACAGCACCCTCTACCTTAATGGTTAGTGCTGCACTCCATATATTTACTGTATATATGGAATCACATACTTATATGTGATTCTCTTTTGTTCCACATTGGGATGGTCAAACATGGATGGTTGCTGACACACTGCAGGTGCTTAGTAATGACAGTGGTTTGGGTTTATTTAAATTCATGCTCACATGTAAAATAATAATAAAAAATAAAATAAAATTTACACTGAATTACCTTTTTAAATTACACATACCTAATTTCTACAGATAAAAATAGGATGAAGTCTCACAACACAATCAAGGATCACGGCACGTTGCTGGCTTCAGCCTTTTCATCCAGCTACTGCACAGCTGACTTTACCCCCTCTGTGTGAACGTCTATCAAGTCTATCTATCACAGTTGCATGCCACGTGTTCCTGATCCTCTTAATTACTTTATGCAGTAAATATAATAACAGACAAGACTGCCACCTGTTGACACTGTTGTGCACAATGTGCTTTTCTAAGACCAGCTGGAACAGGTGACGCTTTGGCCCAGAGGCATGTCATTGGTGTGGAACCCCAAGGTTCACCTCCTGGGCAAGTTTGCATCCCGGTTAGGGCAGTTGGTACCTTCCAGTGGACTCACCACCTGCAGGAAGGTTCTGGGGGTTGGTACGGTGCTGTGTGATTTGGGTGGCGACTGTTGCCCCCGTGACCCAGTAACGGATAAGCGGATGAAAATGGATGGATGAATGGATAGATGGAACAGAAAATGTCAATTTTTTTTGTTGGGGGTGGGTCTAAGTTAAGAGTTAAGTATAACACATCTAAAAATGTGAACATGAGGTCTCAGGACCTTAACTTAACCTATAGTTCCATTCCATCATAGCTCTATGAGACCATTTCAATCCCTTCCGGGGAAAGCATTGTGTGTGTGTTCGTCAAGGTGCTCCATTCTTACGTCGAAAGGAATCTGAAGAAGTCACGCCGCTGTTTGTTCAAATGAGTCTTACAAGAAACAGTGATGCATCTCGCCAGATCTGGGCCCCCTCTCTCTATGGAGATCAGGTTCTGGCTGCAGAGCCCCCTTCTTAAAGAGGGACTGGAAGATGACCTTGCACAGGTTCTCAACATTTTTTGATGTGATGTCTACCTGGGTGCCTTCAAGTTGAGCCCAGATTTCATCCACCAGACATTGAATGGTGGATTCCAGATCTGTGAAAAAGGTCCTGTCTCCTTTTACGGTTTACGGAGTGTTGAAATGACGAGCCTCAGACAGGTCCAACTAACTTCTGCCTGTGCTACATCCTCCTGAGGGATTTCTCCACTGGCTGCTTCTGGCTCCTCACCTGCTGTGACCTCTGGAATCTGTGTCTCCGTGTCAATTAAAGCATTAATCACTTTGTCACTGTAACACTGGACCGGATTTTCTAGCCACCAGCTCATCAGTGACAGGAAACAGATAACTCTGTGCTGTATGTCCTTATACATGGTCTCATATGGCTGATTGTCAAATACCGCTCCCGCAGGTGACGCCCCCCTGACTGCCTCTGAAGCAGTCTCACCTGTGATGCGGCCGTACAGGAGATCACTGTTTCCCTGTCAATTCAAGGACGTTGTCAGAAGAAATATTTGCAAGCCTGC